GTGGCTGACGGGCAGTCGTGATGCCCAGCCCCGCTCTCGTCTCTCCCTCCAGATGGTCCCCGAGGACCGGCGCCTCGCAGCCGCCATTGTCCTGGTGGTCTGGGTCTCGGCCATCGCGTCTTCCCTGATCGACAACATCCCGTTCACAGCCACCATGGTGAGTCCCCCGTCCTGAGGCCCGGCGTGCAGCTGGACACAGTGTGGGCTCCCCCTTCCTGCCGGGGAAGGCAGCGTGGAACCCCGACCCGTCCGTCCCCTGGCTGCACCCGCGGGCTTGGCTCACAGGCGGCAGAGCCGGGCAGACGGCTGGGAGCCGAGGGCCCGTGTCCTTGCATCCTGGGTCAGCACCAGGGACAGCGGCCTTTTCCCTTTCGCTTCTGTTTATTTATTTATTTTGTTAATCCTCACGCAAGGATGCTTTTCCCACTGATTTTTAGAGAGTGGAATGGAGGAAGGATGAGGGAGAGGGAGCAACATCAGTGTGAGAGAGGCGCTTCGGTGGGTTGCCTCCTGCACGCGCCCTGGCCTGGGGCTGGGAATCGAACCTGCAGCCCAGATAAGTACCGCCCACCCCCCCGACCTGGAATCCACCCCCTGCGACCTTTGGTGCGCGAGCTGGTGCTCTAACCATTGAGCACCCTGGCCAGGGCTGCCGTTTGCTGTGAAGAGAATCGGGAGGCGCCCAAGGCAGAGGCTGGCTGAAGGCCTTTCTCCTTCCTTCCCTGGGAACACAGAGCTGTTGTCCAGCCTCGGGCTCTGGTGCTGGGCTCGGACAGGCCTTGGGGTTGTCTGTGTGCCCCTGACCCGGCTGAGATGGGGGGCACGTGCGAGAGGCCCCCACAGGGCGGCCCAGCCCCGTTCCCACGGTGCCTTCTGACACCGCCGACTGTGCGGCTTACTGAATCTGTAATATTTTATTTCTTAAAAAATCAAACAGCCCTGGCCGATTTGGCTTAGCGGACAGAGCGTCATCGGGTTTGGTTCCAATCGAGGGCACGTGCCTGGGTTGCAGGCTCCTCCCCGGCCCAGGCCCTGGTCGGGGCGTGTGCAGGAGGCAACCCATCCATGTGTGTCTCTCACATCGATGTTTCTCTCTGTCTTTCCCTCTCTCTTCAACTCTCCCTGAAAACAAATGGAAAAATATCCTCAGGTGAGGATTCACAAATAATAAATAAATCAAGCCCTGGCTGGCATTGCTCAGTGGTTAGAGTGTCGCCATCCCCTGGCGTGGGTAATCTATGCGTCTCTCCCACATCGATGTTTCTGTCTGTCTGTCTGTCTGTCTTTCTCTCTCTCTCCTCCTCCCTCCTCCCTTCCACTTTCTAAAAATCAACAGGAAAAACACCCTCCTCCTAAGAGAATTAACAACGAAAAACGACCCGCAGCAGCCACCAGGGGGCAGCGAGGAGAAGGGGGCCCGTCGGTCCTAAGGCTGAACCCATGGGCTCCCACTCAAGGCCTGCGGGGTTCACACTCCCCTTTGGCTTCCTGCTCCCGGCAGCGGACAAGCGGTCGGTGGTGGTGGCCAGCGGCCGGCAG